AAAAAAAAATACCACCACAACAATTTTTTATGACATAATTTCCATTTTTCATGATGAATAAAGAAAATTGTAGTGTCCTAATGCCACTTCGTCTCCAAGCAGCTCTCCAACTTCATCACCTGCACCTAAATTGTCTTCCCAAAAGCTGCACCTAAATCGTCTTCCCCAAAAGCTGCACCAAAATCCTCTGTCCCAAAATCCTCACGCCCCTCTTCCTCCCCTCCTACCAACTCATCCACCCCAGCAGAGTCCCCCAAGGATGAGCCCTCATCTCTAGCTGCCCCCAGCAGCGAAGCCCATTATCCTACTGCTCGACACCCAGACATACACAGCAGCGTCGAGGCGCTGCTGTTCAACGCTGCTGTGTCCAAAGCAACGCCTGACTCTGTGAAAGGCAGCGTCGCGATGCTGCTGCCGTTTACAGCAGCGTCGCGACGCCGACAGAGAGAGAGAGGGGGAGGGGGAGGGAGGCGGCGGACGGTGGTACAGGTAAGAGAGTGGAGAGAAATGAATTATTTATGGTTTAGATTAGATTTAGGAAATTTGAGGAGGGGTTGGATATATAATATTTAATACTTGGTTTAATTATTAATTCAATACCTGATTTTTTATTAAATAAAATTCACACCTGAATTTTGAATTTGAAAAATTAAATTCTTGATTTTTTGTAATTTCCCTTCCAAATTTTGGGTAGACTGGCCCTCTGTGGCCCATAGGCCAGTCCCAAGGTGGGCTGGGTCGAGAGGAGCTGGGTTGGGCCTATGCACCTCGGGCCAGAGTGCCAAGCCCTCCACAGCCAGTCGTACTGGGCTTTTCTTGGATTGTCCAGCCACCACTACTAATTAGTTAGACGGTTCAGTGTTGATTATAATTAAATAAGAAAATTTGTAAATCTTGTACACTGCTACATTACATATCCAAATATTTCATAACACGCAGAACTAGGAAGGCGAGAAAACCACAAATTACGAACAGTAGGATCTTTTGTCGGTTTATGATAAGGTTTAGTCACATTCATTGTTAAAAATTAAAAATGGATTCAGCAATTTAATGTAATGTCCGGGAATGGATCTATGACTGGACTACAAGTCGATCTAATATGTTTTTTTTAAAAAATTACACGTAAATTTTTTATTGGACTGGACTACACCTATATACGTCATTGGACTGCTGTCATTAAATATACTTTCTAAGCTATGGGATCTATTTATACAAAAGTCACATATTAGTCTTTCAAAAAGGTGACACAAAAAGATCATGCTAAAAGATTTAAATAAGATTGTCCTTTCGAAAAAAACTATAGTTGAGTGTATGTGTACGTGCCACTCGTATGCTCGAGTAACAATGTGTGTATGTGTGTCAACATGCATGAGTGAAGTATAGTTGAAACTAGTTCAATTAGTACATAGGCGACCCGGTGATTTGACCTGTCAATATCTGTTTCGAGTTTAAAAGTAATGGTTTGACCCCTAATTTTGGCAGGATTTATTACATCAAAAATAGCATGTTGTGGACAAGGACCATACAATGGGCTTG